TTTCAGGTTAAAAACGGACCTCTGGAACGAATTAAGTACTTAACCTGAGGTACCACTGTACCAGAAATACAGGGATACGAACAGTGTCCCTTACAAAATGGTGCCATGCTAAATCTTGCACCAGGATATAGCATTGTAGTCATGTGATTAACAAGAGGAATTGTTGAGAGAGGGGTCATATTCACATGACTTCCCTCAAAGAATTCTGGGAACTATAGCTTATTAAGTGTCTTGGGAATCACAGTTCTGTGGGAGGAGGTAGCTTTTGGAGCAGGAAACTACATTTCCCATGGTTCTTTGGGGGAAGCCATGTGCTTTAAACTTGTTTTTAGTGAATGGTGTGGCTGTGACCAGAGAGAGGACCTGTCACTCCTCCCCTATAAAAACCCTCTCACCAGGGTAGAAGAGACAACTTAGTTTTGCAGAGACAGAAATAAGAAGCCAATCTTAGTGGTCTGTTAGAAACAAGATTCATGGACACCTTGCTATAAATTCTGTGCTGCTTGTTTGTGTACACAAGTATTAACAAGATTGGAAATATGCTATCTATGCCATAACTGCTGCCAGTTTGCTGCTGTTTATTTTTATGCCCAAGAGCAGCCTTGAGTTCTCAAATGTTGTTTGACTTCAGCTCCAGTGAGCCCTAGCCAGCATGGTCAATGAGAGCTGGGAGCAGGAGTCCAACAGCATATGAAGCTCCATGAATGGTGAATGATGCTGGAATCATTTGTATCTGGTTGGGCTTATCACATGTATATTGGTATACAGTCATTCTAAATAGTTCCAGGTAAGGGACTAGTCCAGTTAAGTGCAAGGTAGCTGAACAATGGAACTTGTCCACACTCTCCTCTCCCCTCCCCATGTGCCCCTTGCATTTCTTAGAGGGTTGGAGGAACCCCAAGAACATATTTAGGCATCTTAGAAAGGAGAAGAGAAGGCTGGGAAGTTTATTGGGTTGTTTTGCTCTATTTTTAATATGTATTTTGTGCTTTTATGTTGTAACAGCCCTGAGACCTGCGGGTACAGGGTGGTATACAAATTTAATCATACCGCTAAAAGTCCCTGCATTAGTGGAACTATTTAGTTTGATGCCACCCTATGAGTGCATGCAAAGTTAGTCCTACTCAAAGTAAACCCACTGAACTTAATGGGCATGACTAATTTTGCTCCATTGTTTTCAGTGTGTCTCCTCTAACTTCTTCAAATACAGTCCCCCATAAGCAAATGTAAAAGGACATTCTTTATTTTATTTTTTTGAAATACAGGCAGTTCCTATTCCTACTAATTCATTAGCAAGTGTAGTTTTTAGGTGATGGAATGATTCACAGATTATCGCAGTCATCAACCAAAAGCAAACATCAGCTTCCTCTTCGTAAATAAACAGTTCTGCTTTGATTTGCTCTTTATCCCTTATTTTAATAAATCCTACCTCTGCCTATATTCATTTTCTGAGGAGGTGAAGATCATTACCCTGTGTCAGTATTCCATCCTATTGACATTGTTATCCTTCCTGCTTTCTTTTGCTTTTCACCTCTTGACTTCTTCTCTGTTTCCATGTTTGAACTGGGTCTTTTATCAAAGGATGCTGGAAATTACCAGTGTCTCAATTTTGTTTTTCATCTGATTCATGAAGCACTTCTCGTAATGTGAAAAGCAGTTCATGAATTGCTCGAGAGCTGGCAAAAGAATAGTTGTGTGCCCATTTCCATATAAATGGCCTCATTACTATGCAGGCCAGTGATAATTTATGAGGCTGGATTCTCATTTGCAAACAGGGGTCCTGCTGGCATTGTCCTTCTGTTTACAAGCAAGGAAAATATGATTTCAAAACTATTTAAGTAATATAGTTAGTTTTCGTGTTGTTTTACTAGTAAAGGTCCACCTAACTGAGACTCACAACAAAATACTGATTAGATGTGGGAGTTTTCAGGAAATAACCACAAGCACACTGTTTACTATCTTTTAAAAAACAAACAAACCATAAGCTCATGCTGTAGAGCACTTTTAGATAAAACAATGACAACTACCCAAAGGTCTCCACTAAATAGGTGATGTCTGGGAGAGGAAGGAATCAAAATTCAGGGTTCTGATTCAGCTCTGGTTGAAGGCCACTTGCAGTTCACAAGCATCTACCATTAGGTGGTGGATGCTAGAAGACTGGAGAGCAGTGGTGATATGTCGAAGAACAGCATGTATGTCGTGCTCTTTAACATCTACATGAAGCCATTGGGAATGGTCATTGGGAGTTCTGGAGCATGATGATACTCTGTTTTTCTGTAACATCTGAATCAGGAATGGCTAAAGAGCCCCTGGACCGGTGTCTGGATGCAGTGGTAGGGCTACTTAACTGAATCCTGGCAAGATGGAGGCTCTGGGGATGAGTCATTCCCAGGTCTGGGAAGGCAGTAAACTGCCTGCCCTGGATGAGGTCACACTTTCCCTGAAGGAGCAGGTCCATCATTTAGGGATGCTCCTGGAAACCACTCTGTAACTGGAGGTGACAGTGTCCTTAGTGGCTAGGAGTGCCTTTTATCAACTATGGTTGGTAAGACAGCTGTGGCTGTTCCTGGATTGGGTTAGCTTGATCACAATTGCCCTCATGGTTGGAACACTGCAAAGCACTCTATGTGGGACTACCCTTGGGGTTGATCTGGAAGCTGGTGCCGGTGCAGAACGTGGTAGCTAGCATGCTTGTGGAGGCATATACTCTGCTTATGGGATTTGCCCTGGCTGACAGGTTGTTACTGGGCCAAGTTCAAGCTGTTAATACTAAAATATAATTTCCTATACAGTTTAGGGCCAGGATACTTGAGAGACTGCATTATCCCTTATATATCCAGTGGTTTATGGCTGCAGTTTCTCCTTCGGGTTCCAAAAAAACCTCAGAAGCCCACTTCACAGTATCTGTGGTTGCCCTTGTTCTGTGGAATATTATTCCCATCAAGAAACAATGGAAGAGATTTAGGATAGGCTTTCCCAGCTGGAGAAATGTACCTTTAAAATGTCTATATACTTGTTAAGGTCTGAGTCTTGTTTTAAATGCATTGATTATATTTGAGTTGTTAACTATAACCTTGTGTATAAATAGCTTTGAGACTGTTGTTTATAAGGTAATTATTAACTTAATAATAATAATAATTCCTGCATTGCAGGAGGTTGGGCTAGATGACCCTCAAGATCTCTTCCAACTCTACAATTCTATGAATCTGTTTTTCTATCATACATCCTGCTATCATACAACCTGACCTCATATGTGGTAGAGGTTGTTGTCCCAATACCAATGCTAAAGTAAGATTCAGCTGCTAGCCAGCTTGGGTTCTCTACGAGAATTTGGAAGGCAGTGCAGAGAACTTATCCTTAACAGCTTTCAGTTGGTGGTAGATTTGCTCCACCCAACCGAGGAAGGAATTTGCATTTCTTTCCTCGCCAGGGTGGGCAACAGCTCTCCATCATGCGGCTTGCAGTGGCTATTGGGCTCGAGGTAAGAGCTCACCTATAAAAGGCTGCTCCCCCATCCCCCCAAAATCTTTCTCCTCCTCCATTGTGGCATCCTGCCCTCTCTTTCAGCAGTATGGGCTTTGCCAATAGCCAATTCAGGGCTGAATAGGACTTGTTCAGGGTGCACTAAAACCAGCCTTCAGGGACACCTATTCTCACCTGCTTCATCATGTTCATTTGATTGTCTTGTGGTTGTTCTGAACTTGATATGGCTTTGGGATATGTTTGACATTTTAGTGGAACCAGATAAGAGGCTTAGAAAATGAGCAGCACCCTGAGGCATGTCATGGGGAGAGTACTCCACTAACCAAAAGGGAAGTGGGTGGTGCTGTGGTCGAAACCACTGTGCCTCTTGGGTTTGCTGATTGGAAGGTTGACGGTTTGAATCCATGCAATGGGGTGAACTCCTGTTGCTCTGTCCCAGCTTCTGCCAACCTTGCAGTTCAAAAGCATGTCAGTGCAAGAAGATAAATAGGTACTGCTGCAGCGGGAAGGTAAACGGCATTTTTGGGTGCTCTTGTTTCTGTCATGATGTTCTGTTGCACCAGAAGCAGCTTAGTCATCCTGGCCACACAACATGGAAAGCTGTCTGTGGACAAACCTTGGCTCCCTCGACCTGAAAGCAAGATGAGTGCTGTAACCCCATAGTCGCCTTTGACTGCACTTAATCGTCCAGGGGTCCTTTACCTTTTTTTTAACCTTACTCTACTAACCACCCCCTGTTGCTGACCAGCTTGGGGAACTGCTTGGTGCAGTGTTGTTGGGAAGTTTTGTTTTTGTTTTTTCCTTCCATTTAAGCCAGCTTGGGTGAAGGAATTGCCCTGAGGTGGTTTGTCTCTCAGCAGCAGGCAGGAGACTTTCTGCCTGCCAGTACAGTGGTACCTCAGGTTAAGAACTTAATTCATTCTGGAGGTCTGTTCTTAACCTGAAACTGTTCTTAACCTGAAACACCACTTTAGCTAATGAGGCCTCCTGGTGCCGCTGTGCCACCGCTGCATGATTTCTGTTGTCATCCTGAAGCAAAGTTCTTAACCCGAGGTAATATTTCTGGGTTAGCGGACTCTGTAACCTGAAGCATATGTAACCTGAGGTACCACTGTACAGGTTATTCCTACATGCCCTTGTGATTTTGGATTGACACAAGTTCTCTGCGATATTTTAATAAATACAGACATACCGTGCTTTATTGAGCTTTGCAGATATTGATCCTCAGAAGGAAGCAGGTGCAGCTGCAGTCAGCCTGGTCACTTCCAGGGGAAGGAAGTTCCCCGGCCGCGGGCCCCATCTTCTGGCCATGGGAGTGGAGCTGGTTGGGGCTGGAGCCAGGCTTTTCTCCTCCTGCCTCCACAGCCAGGGAGGCCTGGCTTAATACACTACAGTCTAGTGCAAACGTAACTTTTATATACACAGGGAAACAAAAAAGTTTGTTTGACTCACTTTATTGCAATATTCACTTGATCACAGTGGCCTGGAACTGAACCCACAATATGTCCGAGGTATGTCTGTATAATTTTTTTTTAGCAATGTCTGTTGTCAAGTCTTCATACTGGATGTAAGGCAATGTCCTTTGTCTCAGGCAGAACATATCCTTGGGACAATCCTGCACAAACAATGAAGGAGCTGGCATCACATCCAAGTTGCATTCAGTTAGTTCACAAGCATCATTCTGTAGATGTAGACAGCAGACACATCTGCAACTGTATCAGTTATTTTAAACACTTTCTGGATCAGAACTTCTAGAACATCTTAGGCAGTTACTTACCTTGGAGTAATTCTAACCGAATTCAGTGAGGCCTCCTTCTGAGTAGACATGCATAGGCTCACACTGCAGGAGAAACTCAACTGTTTTTAAGTTTACAGAATGATGTCTTAATGAACAGGGCTAGTCAAAGACAACATTATGAGTCATCTGTCTCAAAGGCAGAACACTACATTTTTAATCCCAATTCTCTTTACAACAGTTCTTTCATGTCTAACACATTGCTTTCTGTTATTCTTGATGACACTGCAAAAAATAGCAAGAGAGACTTCTGCTAAAGTTTCTTGACAACTTTTTTTCCCACTTTAAACTACATCGTTTAGATGGAAAGATGCAATTCCTCCCATCTTCTTAGCTGTGCCAGTCCAATTAAATTCACCCTCTGCTGATGGATTCCTGTTTGCCTGCTCTAATTAAGTTGTTAGAAATGTTATGATAAGCATTTTTTCCCCCTACACAGACTTTTGATGCCCTTCAGTGAAACGCCCCTCTCCACTTTTCAGGAGCTCAGTGGTTCATCTGATGCTATTGAAGTTTGCTTCATATCAATACCTTGTTGTGCTTAAAACAACAGGGAATGAACTTGTGGGAAATGCTCTTGGTTAAGGATTCCTTTACCGAGACCAACCACTGTGCTGATACTCCTTTTTTTCTTTTTTGAGGCCCCCCCCCCTCACAAATCATGGTGAGGGTGAAGGAAAAGTCCTCCTGGGAACGGATGGCTAATTTCAGCAGAAGTTTCACTGACTTTTCTTTTGAGGGAGTCAACCCTCAAAAGGATTGACTCAAAAGTGGTAAGAAATGATTTTTCCTTTCCCCTTTTATTTTTGGGCCCCTATTCAAGTGACACCAGTAGCACTCCTATGCATCCTTTCTTCTGTAACGATGCCCCAGGAAGAACTCTACTGGTCAGTGGAGGATTGTATATCCCCCACTCCCAGCAACATTCCTGGAATTATGCTATGTTGTAGTGCAGTAGCATCACTCCAGGGCAATTGTTTGTGGGGAGGGGTAGATGGTGAACAATTATATATATATGTGCGAGAAAAGTCATTCCTGCTATTTCTCCTTGCCCCCTGAAAATAAGTGAGAATTATCCGGAGTGAAGCCACATTGCTGTTGCCGGAGAGCGCTGACTTTTTCCTGTGGACAATTGGATTCTAAACAACTGCCCATGAGTAGAACGGAAAATTGGACTATGAAACTTTTTAATTTGGCACCGAAGCGGGAAGGTCTAAACAGGAAGTCCGCCTTCCGCTTTTGTAAATAGATTGAAGCAAAGACATTGCAAGCTAGAGTCTGGAAAGTCGTTTGTAAAGGACTAAATTTCCATCAGTTAAAATTACTAAACCCCCCTTGGAAGCAGGAGAAGAGGGGGGAAATCTTAGACTGTTTAAACCTGCAGAAGAGAGAGTAAAGAAAGATAAATTTCCACCGTCTTGAACCTGGGAGCGGGGTGTCAGGGACAGACGCTTTGGGGAAGTTCATTGACTGTGGATAAAACGTTTTTGACAGATAGTTAAAAAAGAGAAACATATTGATTCCAATGTTCCCTTTTGCACTTAAAAGGAACAAAATATCTGAAAAACGAAAGGAATTTTGTTGCTAGATCTGCTTTTAAAAAGACGGATACAAACAGAAATTGTTTCCTCTAGAGGGAGCTTGTGAAACTGTTGCTGGAGTCGATCTGGGGAATTCTGCAGCTGTAGACATTAAAGATCATGAGACCAGACATTTACCTTGAACAAGAATGTGCCCAGAAGAAGCTTTAGTGCTTGCTTTTTGCAAGACAAGTGCTTTACTGGAACAGCTACATGAGAAGATGGATTTGATGACTGTTGCAGTTGGCAATTTTGGACAAACAGTGAATACCTATATAGAAACCACTCAGGAACCAACCCAGGAATGTGCTTTGACAGAGCAAGTTGTGAAGAAGATAAAGGAGGAGGTTGTTGCTGAACCTCAAGTAATAGAAATGGAGAGAGCTGCGGCCTTGCAGGAACATAAGTTGTTGTTTTTGACGACTGAACCTGGAGAAAGTCAGATTTGGAGAGATGGAGTACTGTTTGGTCTGGAGATGGGAAGTTGGATAGATCCCCCTATGCAGGGATGTTTTGACTTTTCGGATCTGGTTTTGGGCCAGGGGGAGTTTGGAGTTGTGGGGGCCCTTAACCTTGGAGGGACTTTGAAACATGCCTTCAAATATCTTTTGGATTTCAGTGCTGACTATGGAGAATGGGCTGACTTGTTGAGAAGGGATAAAGATATTGTCAAGTTGGAGTCTCCCCCGAGAGAAAGGAAGGAAATTAAGAATAAGATCAGCAGAAGACAAAGTAAAGTGCAGGTATAAATATGAAGAAGACCTGCAGAAGGGACATGGAAAAGACTTAAGAGCCTCGGATAGAAGGTCACCAGGTTGATGGACTAGATGGAAGGGATAGAAAGGACTGATAAAACCCGAGACCAGGAAGAAGAGACGATGGATGAAGATTGGAAGAAAGTTTTAAAAATTCATTTAGAAAATGATTGTAAAATTAATGAGTATTAGAAAAATGTTGGAATGAAACTATTTGGCTTTAGTAGAAATGCTAAAAAGAATTATGTATAAATAAGTTTTAAGCTTTAGGGCTTTTTATGGTAAGATAAGGTTAAAATAAATTAAGGTAATTTAATGACAGAATATAGTGAAAGATGAAAAGGATTTCCTGAGATAATTAATAACTAGAATACAAAAAAGGGAGGTGTGAGGAGGTTGATGAAACAAGTTAACGGAAGACAAAGATTTGGGAATATTGGATTTGTTTATTTTTGTTTTTGGTTTTGATGTATTGTGTGTTTTGTTTTGTTTTGTTTGTTTTTTCTTTTTATTGACTTGTATTGTTTAATTTCTCTTTTTGTCTACCTTTTTTCTTTTTCCTTTTTTCTTCTTCTCTATTTCCGTAATTTTAAATTCTCAATAAATATTATTTTTTAAAAAATGAAAATAAGTGAGAATTATCTCTCTTTCCTGGAGATATCACCATCTAGAAGCCCAACATTCTATGGATTGGGTTATGATAGTGGAAGGACTTCCTTTGCCCAGCCCTTTGATATAGTTTTGTTGCTCATCCATCCGGAGGCTCATCAGTGATCTATTAGACCAAGAATAGACAACATGGTGTATTCCAGATGTTGCTGGACTGCAGTTCCCATCATCCAGCAACGCTGGCTGGGGCTAATGAGCATTGGGGTCCAACACTACCATGTTGGCTATTTCTGTATTAGAGAAAGGGAAGCCGGTGGTGCTGTGGTCTAAACCACTGAGCCTCTTGGGCTTGCTGATCAAAAGGTCGGCAGTTCAAATCTGTGCGACGGGATAAGTTCCTGCTGCTCTGTCCCAGTTTCTGCCAACCTAGCAGTTCAAAAGCATGCCATTGCAAGTAGATAAACAGGTACCGCTGTGGCGGGAAGGTAAATGGCGTTTCCGTGCTCTCTGGTTTCCATCACAGTGTTCCGTTGCACTAGGAGCGGTTTAGTCATGCTGGCCACATAATCTGGAAAGCTGTCTGTGCACAAAAGCCAGCTCCCTTGGTCCGAAAGTGAGATAAGCACTACACCCCATAGTCGCCTTTGACTGGACTTAACCATCCAGAGGTCTTTACTTTTACCTTTTTACCTGTATGAGAGGGATGAACAATACACCACTAATAACAGTATGCAGAGATACACCCCTGCACAAAGGGGGCATTGGTTACATACTATATTTCCTCCCATAAGTATAATTTAGGTTGGCAGAATCTACCTTACTCCAAGTAATATATACAGTCATACCTCTGGTTGCAAACGTGATCCGTGCAAGAGGCACGTTTGCAACCCGCAGTGTTCGCAACCTGAAGTGCCACGTCTGCATATGCTTGTGACGTGATTCTGCACTTCTGCGCATGAGCGAGCGCCAAAACCCAGAAGTAACCCATTCCAGTACTTCCAGGTCCACAACCTGAAAACGCGCAACCTGCAGCGTTCGTAACCTGGGGTATGACTGTATATTGTAACAAAAAGGGCAAAAGTGAAATAAGAAAGCTCTGGGCATGTACAATGGGCTGCATGAAACCACCTCCTCCTCCTCCGAACCCTGTAATTGTTTACAAAATGAAAATAAACACTCAGATAATTGCCTTTCGAATCATCCATTCCTTTCCTGTCACATAAAATGTAACAAAAAGATCCCATTTACATACAGCGCATATTAGGTTTTATGGGCTCTCATCAGCATAAAAAACCTACCATACTCGACCATGTGGAGATCTAGTGAAACCGATCAGCACCAGGTGTGAGAGACTCAAAGATGGACAAGTGGCTTAATAGAAACACCCTTGCAATAAAAGCACGTCAGAGTGGTGTGAGGAACAGAAGCAAGAGACACAAGGAAAGTTCAAGCAGAGGTTTCTCTCCTCTGTCTTCCTTTGGTATTACTCTTCGGCTACTGCCTTCCAAGAAATATTACCTCCTACTGAGGATCTCAGAGGGAAAAGAACAGAACTGAGCAGTCAGAACTCACTCATTTCTTAATGCAGGCTACATCCTGCATGCTCTCATGGATGGTCACAGTGGGTGCTCAGGTCTTGCTTGTGGGCTTCCCATAAGTATCTGGTTAGCCACTGTGAGAACCGGATGCTAAATTAGATGGGCCTTTTACCTGATCAAGTAGGGATCTTCTTGTGCTTTTAAGAAAACAGGATGTTTATTCCTAGTCAAGCCAATTTGCTTTGCTTTATTCACATGCAATCTGTGACTTGCTAGCCTTGTGTATAAGGTTCAGCAGAGCGGCATTCTTAGACCTTCCCCCAACAACTTCTACCCTACTGGTCCTTGACATCCATGCACTGAGTGTGGGCATCTGTAAAGGGCTATATTCCAATCTGAGTCACTTGGCGGCCACTTTTATGTGGTCCAGTTCAGCTCAGGAACCTCTGAAATGATAATCCTGTGAATTGGGTGGGGGACCTTTCTGTCAACAAGGGGGGAAAGCTCATAGGTTCTGAGCAAGTCTCTCTCTGTGTGTTTTTTTGTGTTTGTGTGAGATCCACAGTTTGTTCAACATACCAAACTTTTTATTCAGAATATGAACTGAACTAAGATTGTGGAAAACTTCCATGATGGATTGGACTTCCAACAGAATAATTGCATTGTTCTAACAAGCTAAGTTGCAAGATATTTTACTGTTCAATTTTTTTCTTTTAGTAATTAAACTTCTTTTTGGCAGGCTGAGAAAATTATGTTTATATTATCAATACTGTAATCAATCATCATAAATAACTGCACATTATTAGATTGGTATTTATTTCTGAATCTACAGTTAATTAGAAGCTAAAGCTATTACTGTTCTTCGGATTCAGTGGAATTCACTCCCTGTATTGGATGGTGTGGGAGGAGGGAATGAATGGAAACACGCTATCAGAGTGAACATCTAGAGCTGTGATCATGGAAAGAGCCTTAAATGCAAATATCCCATCATTCATTTCAAATGAAGGGTCATAATTCTATTGCCATTCATTTTGTTAAACCAACTGTAGTCATCTGCTTGTTGGTTTTAACTTTCTTTTGTGTCAGTTCAGAACTATTGCATTCTTTTCACTCACGTTTTTGTCTATTGCAATCGTGTAAGTCTTTCTTTTTTTAATATTCAGGAGGAAAATAATACATCATTAGCTCTAAGCACTCCTGCCATGTGAATTCTGCAACTGGGAGTATTCTCTGAGAAAATATGAGTCAGAAATTTGATAAATAAATTAATTGGCGTGGATCCAGACTATACCTTCTGTGGATGGAAATGTTTCTTCTATTCATGGGGAAGTTTTGATCCAACATAGTGATCCTGCTGGGGGTGGGTGGGGAGGGAGGAGAGGACAAGTGAGGTGAGGGGAGTTTCTCTCATCCCCACGGGTGGGGGAAACATCTAGATTCAACCCATTAAAAATAATAAGAAACAACTGCAAATCTCATTATGTTCAATTTATAAGTAGACTACCTACCCACTGGGTTTATTTATTTTTTAATGCTGGTACAAAAGAAATTAAAAATGATTGCCAGTCTTGTATTTCCCATGTCTCCTCTGTAAAAAAAAGGAAGGAAGGAAAGGAAAGGAAAGGAAAAGGAAAGGAAAGAATGAATGTTAGATAATGCTGTGTCCCAAAGTGGTGCCATAATGTGTAATAGGCAATAAAATTGTCCAGGCCTTTTGAAAACCAGTATAAATCTAACAGGCCAAAATAACAGCTTTTAAACATGTTATTTGTTACTCATAAATTTCTCACAAGCAGTTGGCCTCGAATCCCAAAGATTCATTTAGAAAGCATGTCAAAGGCTGAAGTCCTATGAAACACTATTTAATCCCCACCCCTACTGCCGACAAAAAGGAATAATGTAGGTATTTTATCTACACTAGGACACAGTGATAAATAAGAACTAAAGAATTAGAACGAACAATATACTTGACAGGAGTTTAAGTCTACAAGTGGAAATGGAGAAAACCCTTCCAAAGCTTGGATTAGTGTGTGGACTAAAGACTAAATGGAATTTTACTGGCAGGAAAAGCACAGATCACCAAGGACAGAGTTCCTAAATCCAAATGAGTTTAGAGACTTCTCAAACGTCATAGGAGAGATGTACATTTTATGTCGGCATTAATCCATCAATTCTGTTTATTTATCCTGCAAAACACACACACATACACACACGGAGCAACAACCCTCACTACGCTTTAGATTCTTGACATGACACTAAATAAAAATAAAGGCTAACTTCTGAAGGATAGCTGCTTTTGCAAAGAACCTTGACAGAATGGAATCAAAAGTGTCCTGGTCAGTCAAATATTGCACAGATGGGCAAATACCTGAAGGATACAGTGACAACAGGGTCTTAAAATTCCCACATACCTTTCTTTTTTGAGTGTGAATGTCTCTAAGGAATGGAAAATGTTCCAGCACATGGACAGTAAAAGCTAAAGGGTGTGCGTGGTCCCCAAGGTATTGTTAGCCTTGTTACTATGCAGTTTTTTAAAAACTGTTCTGTGTTGCACTGGGCTCTCTCCCTTTTTATCTGTAATTTGGGTTCCGATCCACTCTGCATTAAATTAAGTGTTTATTGTCTCCAGACACAGGACAAAGCTAAACACGACTATCTGTTGGAACCATGGGATGGAAAGCCAGCTGGCTTGGCCCCAGCCGGAGCGTCTAGTTAGCAGGAGCACAGTGTAAACTGCACAACAGATCAGGCTCGAGGTGTGGATACTGTACTAAACTACACATTTATTATACATAAATCAGGACAAAGAAAAACATGGCCTCTCTCCTTGTCGTTCTTCTCGGAGAGAGAAAAACAAAGGTAATACAGAGTGGATGTTCTGCTCACGGGACTCTAGCAATCTGTGCTGGAATGTAAACAGACATGTGACATGTAACAATCCCACATATCTGCAGCTCGGGAGGAGCATAATCCCAATACTATCTACTATATACAGTTCTTCTGGCTTCTGAAGTAAAGATGCATATGTACAGAAAAAATCTACTAACACTCTCCCCATGGTAGCTAACACTACTGTTTAAAACCCACAGCCTCTTCCCCTGACTCTCACAAATTCAGAGTCACACCCTGACAGCAAACAAGAGAGGGCACAACATCAGCACAAGACATAATGAAAGCAACACCCTAGAGACTATTATACCCATTTCTACATAGGCATATTTTTTGATCCAATGGGATCCAATGGGAGGGTGTATGACTCAGCAAGTCATACACTCAACCAGTATTGCTGGTGTTGCTATGGTAACTCAATGCACCTGGCACCCTTAACATAGAACATCCAGACTTGGAGTTTTGTGCTTCTCAAGACATAACCCAAGAACTGAATAATTACACAAGAGAGAAGCATTAGCAGACTTAGGACAACCCTAAGGTTTGCAGAAGTAGAGGGGGGAAACTTTCCAAAAGACCCAGAGCTCCCACCTCCCTAAAAAAAATGGTCCAATGAGAACTGAGATGTTCAGTGATCATTAAATGCTGACTGGATTGGAAAGAGAATGGAATGGAGTGTCCTAGAGAAGGGCATGTCTGACTATTTAGAACACTACAGCAATGCCACACTACAATTTTTCGCTGCGGGTCCCATGTGTAATGCACTCATTGCCTTACTTTGTAGGATCAAGAGGCTCTTTCTCACCTAACTGAGGTTTGCTTGCCGAGCCCCTGCCTACATGTGTATGTCACCAGTTCTCTTATGCACTGGGAGCCATTCACCAAGCAATCAAAAAGCTAGCATTCATTTTGCTGTGGCTTACAGCTACGCTCTGCAGAGAGAATGTAAGATTACAATTGCGTCCCGTTTTTTCTTTTTCTTTTTCTTTTTTGGGGGTGGGAATGCTCACCTAATCTCTGGCAAACAGCTTGCTGAATCTGTGCTCAGTACAGTGTGTGGAAACTAATTTTACTGTTGATTAGGTAGGTACATCTCTGAACTGATGATTTCCACCTCTTAGGCTAACAGAAGGTGAGTGGCTAGAAATCTTTGCTGTGTACCAACAATTCTCCTGCTGTAATCAAGGATGTTTTTATGTAGGCAAAAAATGACACCCCATCATCATTATAGACTGCAGTATTAGAACCACTGCACCTAGGGAGAAAAGACTAGTAGCAGTCATCTGCAAATGAATGCTCACTTTAAAGAAACTAAAGTGCTGATAAATCACACTTCATAAAAAAAGAAGTTCTTTGAGGCAATAATGATCTGCTTCATGCCAGCTGCTTAAATATTTATTGCATTTATAATACACTGACTATAGTTGTGTGTGTGTGTGTGTGTGTGTGTGTGTGTGTTAGCAACATACCTTTTAATTTGCTCTCAAGATTACAGCCTTTGAATTGAGGGTCGTCAACTGGTGTAGTGCTTTTACAGCATAATTGGAAAATAAGAGTGGCTAATATATGAACTCTTAATGTGAGATAGGGAAAACAACCAGTACATCATAAAGAATCATAGAATCGGAAGGGTGATCTAGTACAACCCCATGCAATGAAGAATCCTATGGGATGTATAACGACATTGTGTTTTGACTCAAGAAGCTGGGAAAGCAGTGGTGTAGCATGGGGGTGCCACAGGGGCGGTTTCTCCGGGAGCAAAATCATTAGGGGGCGCAAATGTTCAACACCCAGTGCTGCCTCAATACAGCTGTGTGCTTCTGTCGCTGGTCTCCACTGAAAACAGCTTTTCCATGCGAACCAGGAAATGACCGCTCCAGACAATGGAACAATTTTTCTTTTCTTATATCTGCAGCTGCAATTTCCTGGGTCATGCCGTTAGGCATTAAATGTGCATGCGTACTCCATCTGTTTCCCTCCCTCACATCTCTTCTCTGCATGGCCCCAGATGCTGGCAACCCATGATACACCCCTGGGGGGAACACCCTCCCCCAAATCGATCTGGTTCATTTCCTTACTTTTCTTACACACTGATATGCCTGCTCAGATGGAATATTTGTAATAACACATGGTTGAATTCCTTCTTCTTTGTTCAGAATAACTTATCATTAAAAAAACACTGAAATCACAACAGCAAACATTCAGAAAAACAAATGCCTTCTCTAGGAGGTCTTAAAAAAAAAGTCAGTGCCCCAAAGCAAATCCAAACAAATCAACAGCTCTAGTCAGCAAGCCTTGCCTTAACTACCAACCACCTTACTCAAAAGAGCGTGATCCAATTTACAGATTACTACAAGCAAAAGGCGGTTTCTGTCCCCTAAAGTGTACAACTTAGACAGTGAGGTCAGTGAAAAAGTAGTGGGGAAAGGTGTCAAAGAAACCAGGGACGAAGGTGAGGAAATCCAGTTGCTTGTACTTGACCTTGGTTTCAGTTGCAGATGAGGGCTAAGAGGTTAGTCCTTTTTTTCAGAAGAGCAGAATGCTAATTGTTGATGAGCAGCATCTGAAGTAAGATAGGAAATCTTAAATGTTCTCTAATCTGACAGACAGCATGAAGATGGACTTATCTCCCAGCTACACAACCTTACAAATGGAATTACTGTACTGTAGTGTGTACAATAGATGGATTTATCCTGATGTTTGGCAGTGGGGGAGGGAGGGGAGGATTAATTCCATGACAACAAGTAATGGCACATCTCCTTAAATTACACAGTAGAGCGATTAGCTCTAAAATGGATCAATAAATCCAATAATCTAGGCTCCAGGATAAATGAAATCTGATGCTGGCAATATTGCTGTTAAAAACTTGGATAAGAAAGGAAACATCCAAGGTTGTACATTTTCATCATGGCAGAAGTTCGGCTTTGTGGCAGAGCGGAATTAAACTTGAAAGATCTTAAAATGAAGGGAATGGGACAATTGCAACCAGGGCCATCCCAATACCTTTTGGCCCATGAGGCAGTCCCCAAAATGGCACTGCCCCTTCTCTCCATGGAAGAAGTAGTGAAGGAACAACTGGGGAAGAAAGATTGACATTGGGATCTGCTGCCTGAGGCAGTCACCTCACTTTGTCTCATGGGTGTGCTGGCCCAAATTACAACAAAATAGCAGCGAGCCATTTTTGCACTGATAAACATAGGGTATGTTTTGTGTAGATGTTTTGTGTACATTCCAACTGAAACCTCACTCCCAAAATGTCACTCTTTGGAAACTGAACTCAGCTACGCTTTTTAATCTGGACTCTAATGCTGCATTTCAAAACTAACTAATACTGGAAAAAGCAGATGAACTGAAAAGACATTGCAAAATTCCAAGCAACGGGACCAGCTGTAATGCTCATCCCTTCCTGTGGCTATGTAGAATTGCTGTTTGAATCCTAGTTTTGCATTGAGGATAGTCCCTTATTTTTAAAATACATTTTTGACATGGGAAACCTACGCAATGTATAATATAATGTCTCTCCATCTGATAATATCTAGGCATCTGATAATACCGTCACAAAAAGTGATTTGGCCTCTAGAGACCTAAACAAACAAAAACTTGGTACCATTATAATAGGCGTGGAATAGGCATCAGAAACTTAGAAGGACAAACTGATGGGGTGTGGCTCAGAGACAAAAAGTGTAAGCAGATCTAAAATTGTACAAATCTGCAGAGGGGGCGAAAAACACAGAGAAATCCAGCTGCAAGGACTGATGACTTCCCTAATGTGTTTTGAAACTACCTTTTATCACTGTTGCTTTTCAAGGAACATGTCCGAAAGCTTACTGAGCACATAGAACTAGTTGGGAAGAGGGGTTTTTTTGTATTCTAGGGCAAGCAGTACTCTATCGCACACTCTGACTGTCTATACTGTGTGGGCTTTGTTCAACTGAGGCCAATTGAATGAAGCCAGAATTTAGCACATACAACACTCAGCAGTTTAGGAAAGTCAACTTTCCTTACTCACTTAATTTCTCTTTCACTCTTCCTCCCAAAGGAGACATTTCAAACAAACAAACAAACAAACAAACAAACAAACAAACAAAAACCCAGTCACATACCCTCACAGCCAATAATTTCAACGTTCCCAGGAAGAGTAGCTTTCAGCTACCAAAAACCTGGGAAAACAGGAATGTTTGTTAAAGTTAATAATGAGGGAGATAGATGCACCTCACCAGAGAGGCATTCCACAGTTGGGAAACCACTATGGAGAAAACCATATTATATGGTAATAATTTCCACTTCTACTACAGTTAGTTGCCTATAGTAGATTAGCATGTCTCATTCCACAGCACTGTGGCTCCATAGCACTTGTAGGCTTTACCTTTCCTGTCTGCTTACTCCAGTGAAATGGGAAATGATATGTGAGCCTCCCTTGCACCAAATCACTATCACCCTTGACACAGACCATCAAGCCACTGAATGCAAGGGGAACCTCGTAAGAGTAAGGAGCAGCTGTCCCTTCAAGGGATAGCTGCCTTGGAAGACTACGTGTTGTGCCCTGCATCTTCTTCTTGCCAACATTTGATATTTTGCAATATTGCACTTACCTTAAGCAGAGGTACCTTCTAAGCCACTGTCTCTTCATTTCCCTCTCCATAAAAGCATCTCATGAAAATGGGGGGCAGGATACATTTCACTCCAAAAATTGAATGACTTTATAAACACAATGCTAGTGATTCATCTGCTGGTAATTAAAAGTCCTGTCATCTTTGGGAGAAGCATTTTCTTTATGAGATTTACACCATGTTGGTTATACCCTCCTGTGTGTCATGTTGTGGCATCTGTAGCAAAAAAGACATTAAAAGGATTCTGTAAAGGAAACTCTATTTTTCTTCCATCTTTTCTATATTGCTTCAGATAATGTTGCTGTTGTGGCTTCCTCATACAACTTAAGAGACTAAATTTAAAAGAAAGGGCAACTTTTTTTTTAAATTACAATTTAGATTTTTTTAAAAAAGCCTAGGAATTAAGGTTATTATTGCCAGAAAAGTCAATAAGAAGCTATTATCATAGGGTTATTGTAGGTGGAACAGAAGGTTCTGCTACACAGTGAGTACAAAGCACACACTTGCCCACACCGCTGTGACATTCCACATGACCAAATCTGAAGAATTAGGACTCTAAGCCATTTTGTGTTTGGTTTTGAGTTGTAAAATTGTTACCGTTCTGCACAGGAGGGACAAAAGTGCACAGGAAGGTTTAAAGTACAAAAAGAGAAGTTCTGCATAAGAGGGTCAAAAGTGTAAAGAGGGGTCAATGATTCAGCCCAGGAACATGGCAATTAAGCCAAAATAGTAACTCTACTGTCTTCTCTTCCGATTTGCTAAAACGTTAGAAGAAGTGAAAATATAGTATGTAGGTCAAAGTGGACAATAGGATAGCAGTAAGTTAAGACTCGTACAGCTACAAGAGAAAGAAAGGTCTGGAGCAGTTTAAGAGAGCTGGAAGACTGGAAAGTTTTAGAGACAATGCTTGGGGTCCAGTAGCAGAAAGGAGCAAAGAGAAGTCCACAAAGGGCAGAATCCCTCCCTCCTGCCTTCAGGGCAAGGAAACTTTTTCAGAGGAGGTTCATTGAAAGATGTGGCCTGGGATAGTGACGTGAGCTAAGTAGAGTCCTGGGAGCAGTATAGAGAGGCCTAGAGGTTGTATCTGGTCCCTGGGTCTAAGGTTCCCTACCCATGCCTTACAGGAACCCTGCAAATTAAATTGCCCCCATGTTGCTGGTGGAGGGCAACTACAGTAGTGGTGAAACTGAATGCAATTAGCATACATGTTTTTGTTATATAAATTGCAGCTTCATAGGAAACCTGAGCCACCTCAGGACTGTGGTGAAAGAGAAGCTGCCCCAGTCCTGGCAATAATTGCCCCACTTAAGCTGCTCTTTGCATATCTAGGTAAGCTTCTATTGGTGCCAGTTTGACACAGGGACCATGTGAAATTCCTAAGGCCATCAAAACTGAGTTCAAGGCAGAGGCAATGTTCAAGGCAGAGACAATATTTCAGCCAAGGATCTAGCTACTGGTAGTTCAATATATGGAAAAGAAAGATGTATTTGCCACTTTTTTATTTCATTGGGCATATGACTAAGAAGCTACTATTCCTGTTGTGGGAGTCAACGTGGGTGAAACTATTCTGAGTCCCTTAGTTTTGACTCAGTGTTACAAATCAGTTGGGTTTTTTTAATGTACAGCATCTGCCTAACGTCCTCTCAAGAGATTGTTCTTTTTTTTTTTTTAACAGAGTTTATACTTAGAAGCTGGAATTTTGAAAGGATTGTCTACCATGACATCCCTGTCCTAGGATGCCATAAATGCAGACTTCCTGCCTGCCTGTCCTCAAATTTCCCAGATGTGGTATTCCCCTCCCCCATCCAGTATATGTCCAAAGACAAGCTCACCAAACATTTTTGGGCCCATGGTCACATCTGAAAACTGGAGAAATGGTCATGGGCACCACAACCACATTGCAACTGAGCACACTCCACGACTGGAATGCCTTCCCATCAGAAGTTAAGGAGATGAGTAATTATATAATATTTAGGAAACATCTGAGGGCAGTCCTGTATAAGGAAGCTTTTTAAGGTTTAATTTTAATTATGTGTTTATGCTGGAAGCCACCCAGAGTGGCTGGGGCAACCCACTCAGATGGGCGGGGTACAAATAAATTACTACTACTACTACTACTACCATCATCTATTTAGTCCAACAATTTGTACTATTTGTATAAGAATCTCAATATAATAAGACTAAAAATGAGTTGAAACTATAAAATCAGAGCTCAATTAAGTCTTCAGTAAGTGCCATCAGGGGGCCTTTCCAATCTGAACCAAAAGGGCATACCACAAAATTGGGCCCACAATAGTGAACACATGTCTTTTGGGGGGTATGAAATGTGCATCTGACTCATGGAGGATGACTAACAGTGGCTCCCCAAAAGACCTCAGTGATTGAGCAGAGCTATAAGGGAAAGAAGGAATGTGGGCGGCACTGTGGGTTAAACCACAGAGCCTAGGACTTGCCAATCAGAAGGTCGACGGTTCGAATCCCCGTGACAGGGTGAGCTCCCGTTGCTCGGTCCCAGCTCCTGGCAACCTAGCAGCTTGAAAGCACATCAAAGTGCAAGTAGATAAATAGGTACCGCTCCGGCGGGAAGGTAAATGGCATTTCCGTGAGCTGCTCTGGTTGGCCAGAAGCGGCTTAGTCATGCTGGCCACATGACCCGTAAACTGCACGCAGGCTCCCTTGGCCAATAAAGCGAGATGAGTGCCACAACCCCAGAGTCGTCTGCAACTGGACCTACTGGCCAGGGGTCCCTTTACCTTTTTATAAGGGAAATAAGCAGTGGAAAAACAAATAGCTTATTGGTTACAAGCTTCCAGTTGGTGACAAAATACAGGTGAAGAAAAAGACAGTGTGACTGTCTTCCATTGGGAGGGATTTCCAAAGGTCCCCTCCCATGTTGTCACCAGCTGCACCTTAAAAGGTGATGGCACACACATGAAGGCCCCCATCAGACAGCATTAGCGGGTAAACTGGCTCAGAAGTTCCACACCACAAATTGAGGGCAGAGGTGGGTAGATGTAGGAACTTGGTGAAAAAGACATATAATTAGAATTAAACGATTCTGGGTGCAATTCAGTGTGGTGCTAAGTGGTGTATAGGTGCAGGGAATGAGGTCTGCTTGCTCAATAATACATTTCTATCCTCTTCTACCCCCCTCCACACGCCCTCTAAACATGTTCTGGGGTTTCCTCAACCCTCCAGAGCAGATTATGGGGGGATGCATGTGCAAAAGGAGAAGCGGAGGGGAAAGTCCCATTGCATGAGCAGACCTCAATCTATACACACAACAGCTTCATTGAATCCCATCCTCTGAGACCAGAAACTTGATCTAAGCACAAGTACAAACCTGAATTCACAGTTCTACACAAAAATTCACTCATGAGTTTTCCCAGCTTTATTCATTTCAACAGTGTTTTATTAATTTACTTATTTGCACCTTGAGGGAAAGAGCTATTTTGTTGTTGTCAGTGCTTCCCCCCCCCCCTAAAAAAATGTTTAGGGGTACTCTCATTTTCCTACTCATATTGAATTACTGCCCTTCAATGAGGCCAAACTTAGATTCACAAAATGTTTAGGGGTATGTGTACCACTGTGTACCCCCTGAAAAAAGCACCAGTTGTTGTCATTGTTGAACAGTTGAGACTTAGCGATCCATGCTGATTTACTTCAAATCAATGGCAGATATTCCAATAGATCCTGAATTGTCTTCTGCCCACCTTACTAAGCCTTTAACCCGCACCTTTAATTGTGTTCAGAAATGAGATGCCAATCAGTGCAGGTGATGTAACAAGGGAGTAAAATAATTGCTAAATTTAAGATTTTAGGAGTGGTAATCTGGGCTAAGTAAAGTTTCTGAACAGACTTAAAGAGCAACCCCAAACAAAGCACATTAAGTAATCCAACCTATGTGTAACAATGCATGTGACGTACAAGGCCGAGCACAGTTGGCACTCAAATCAAGCTGGCTATAGCTGTCACTATGACCTCTAGGAGCAAAGCTGGGTTTAAAAGCACCACCCAATTGTGAGCCTAATCTCTCAAGGGGGGTGGAGTGCATCTAAACTGTGCTGACCTTCTATCTCTGGGCCAGTAGGCCTTTGACCAGGAGCACTCCTGTCATGTCCAGAATTTATTTGTCCAGTTTGTTTACCCACATCCAGTGACTACCATTGACCTCGAACACTGATGAAGGACTTCCTCAATCTCCTCAGACTCAGATGGTTAGGAGACACAGATCTGCATGCAATCTGCATATTGATATGCATACCCCCCGGTGAACTCCATACCCCGCAGTGACCTCTCCTAGAGTTTCATGTAAATGTAGAAATGCATCTGCTTCTGTATTTAAAGATGTTTTAAAATACTGTGCTGACAATCACTGGTGTCGGAGGGACTCTGCCTCCGACCTTCACTATATTAACAATATCTCCCTCTACTTATAAAATCATTAAATTGGAAATAGAGCAACTAAATATAGCCATTAATGCCATTTTGTTTTTATTTTCCAAATTGCTAGGTTCTCAAGAATTGCTTAAAGAATCTTCCCCTAGAGAAACAAAAATGCAAAGCAGTTTTGATTTCTTGTGAATCTGGGACACTTCCTAATTACAGATATACATAACATCCTGCAAGGCTTGATTCAGGCACATCCAAATCATGGGGAAAATAATCTATGACAATCAATAAACCATCTTGTTGAAAAGCACATCTTGATTCTCCTCCCATTCACAGACACACACATATGGACAAAATAATGCTTCCAACAGCAAAACCCAATTTCTTTTACTCTTCTTTGTAGTTCCATGTACTTGCTCCATAAATCAATATAGATGCGAACATTCAAAGGGGACAGAAGTGTTTCTTACAAGAACACACCAGGGAGCCAATATAATTTCTTATTAGAATACTAAGTGGAATTTGGGGGAATATTAACTACTTGTCCTTAGTAGGTGTTTTGCTTCATTGAAATTAATTATTTCCTCCTATAACCAAACCTCACAGTGAATTTCTGCTGGGCAATGTTGTCCAGATCGTAACTGCTTTTGACAGCAGGGTATATTATAAATGTTGCTCGCAAAAGGGGATTGTTCTTTCAGGTAGTGACTTCCAAAGGGTAAGTCGGAGCTGGATATCGGTAGAAGTATAGGGGATTTGCCCCATCCCACTCCTAAAGCAATAATGCTACAGCACTCAGAATCATGGCCATAGCAGTGATTTCTAAATTGCCAGGGCTGGGCATGAAGAGGGTTGTGTCAAATCCCTCCCTGCAATGTATAAGGCTAATTTCTAGGCTGTGTCTTTAGTTTTTTTGGTCCATGAGCAGGAGCTGTAATCCTAGTTGCTCCTTGTACAACTCATTGCTAGAACTCTGCCTACAAGATGCATAGACTAGCTGGAGAGTTCATTTCCTACTTGCAAATCTGGGTGGATTTCCAGAAAAGATAGATTTGCATGAATTTTGCATATACTAATTTATGTGTATAGATGCATATTTCAAAACAATTACTATACTTTATACAAAAATCAAAATACAACACAGCTACAACTACATGATCTGTTGGCCTTCTCTGTTTGGTCTTCTAGTGGTGTGAACTGTTGACAGGCAACTTCAAGGCTCCTTTACTGTTAAACTGGACTTGGACTAGACAGACCTTCAACTGGAGGATGCCTTCAAATGGAAGGGTGTCCTCTGTAACATAGGACACATGGGCATATAGAAAAGAAACAGTCATTTCTATGCAACAGTCTAAGGATTTTTCTTTTTCTAGGACAATAATTTGCAGATTTTCCAACAGAAGGAATAGTACTTCAACTCATCTTTTGATGTTTTTGTAACTGTTTTTGTAGCCGTTTTATTATATTTTGTACATCACCTTGATACATGTGTGCAAAAAGTGAAAACACAACAGCAACACAAAAACACTGAAATTAATATTGTAATGGAAACCATAAGTTTCCTTAACATTGACTTTCAAGAAGTTGCTCCTAGTAAACTTCCCCATTTTGTTTCATGTGGAAAGCTACTGTACTGAACAGCACACCATGTGAAAAGGGTTTTTAAAGCAGAAAGAGGCATAGAAAGCATGAAACATTTTCAGATGGAAGTCAAATTTTAGGCATAGGGAGCTGTATAAAAATCTAAATAGAGACCTGTGAAATGAAAACATTACCTTTAGTTTTTAATCCCGGAGTGCAAGAAATCATGGTTTCTTGACACAATGCACTAATGCACTCTGCATTAGAGCAAACTGTGGGACTTCTAAGCTTGCCAGCTTAAAATTCTTTATTCTTGACAGCAGGCGGCTCCAGGCATTACCATGTCCTCTCTTTTCCTAATTGGTGCATAAGAACTGAAGATTTTATTCACCTGAATGTTTTCCCCCATTGCCCATACACCCCCATTTTCTCTCCTGGTTGGTGCTCTCACTATGTGACTTTTTAAGAAAAAAAGCACACCATTTTGTCCATGCAGCTAACGCTGCAGCAGACAGGAAAGTGTTCTGTAGACAGCTGCCTTGGAAATTACAGAGTGGGTGGAAGAGAATCAGAGGTGGGGACAATTTTATGGCAGTCACTGAGAGCCCCTGCCATCACAGTCTCTTTGGTCTGCCTCCACTGTTCTTGTCCAGCTTTTTACAACTGAACTAGAAGGATCCCAAGACGTAGCTAGGGTCTCTGCATGCCAAACCTTCTACAATTCTGGAAGGCCCATAGCTTGGTGGTAGAACATCTGCCTTGCATGGAGAAGGTCCCAAGTTCAATCCTTGGCATCTCCCTGGAGAACCACTACCAGTCACTGTAGGAGACACTACTGTGAGCTAGATGGACTAATTGTCTGGCTCAGTATAAGGCAGCTTCCTATGTTCCTAGCTGATCGGCAGTGGTTGACCTATCACTGATCCATCACCACAGCAAACCAAAATACAGTGGTACCTCGGGTTACATACGCTTCAGGTTACATAGGCTTCAGGTTACAGACTCTGCTAACCCAGAAATAGTGCTTCAGGTTAAGAACTTTGATTCAGGATAAGAACAGAAATCATGCTCCGGTGGCGCAGCAGCAGCAGGAGGCCTCATTAGCTAAAGTGGTGCTTCAGGTTAAGAACAGTTTCAGGTTAAGAACGGACCTCTGGAACAAATTAAGTACTTAACCCAAGGTACCACTGTAGTTACTTATCTCTTTCTGATCCAAAGACAAAGGACCCTTAAGTGTTGTAATGCTCAAACCAGTTGAGTTGCATCTGGAGCTGTTTATGGGATTGGACTGGTTGCAATGACTAGGAGATATCTCCAGTGCTTTTTTTCAAGAAAAATAGTTGTTGGAATTCACCCATTCATGGAACTCACCATGAAGTTCTTACAATAAATCATTGGGTGACTCGGGCAGCTCTGAATAGATGCCACTTTGACAACAGCCATGTTCACTGCCCGTGGAGGTGCTAGAAACTATGGCATGCTGTCTCCCAAGCTGCTGGGGAGATTGCCCCTGGTTCTGGTGCAGGTCAATTAAATGCACCCCCACCTCCTTCGTTCTCTTAGATTCAGGCAGGTGTCTAGGGCAGCTCAGAAGGGCCCTGATGCAAACACGTCTGTGTGCAACAGTAGGCCTAGTTAAAGCCCACCACCGCTACAAGGGAGATGAAGAAAGGGAAATATGAGTTGGCCCTGTCCTGCAGCTTGACCAACCGTGGCTACAAGCAGCTAGGAGCTAGGTGGAATCATAGACCTTTTAAAAAGTGTAGACATGTACACACTAGCTTCTGTTTTGATTTGAAATGTTTGTTTTGGGTTTCTCAGAAGTACATAAAGGCAAGAAGCGGGCGGGAGAAGCACTGGCCCGCAATGGCACCTGCCTGAGAGGTGCTGGAACTGTGCTCTGGCACACTCCTGCTGAAAAAAAAGCATTGGTCACCTCTGATCAGCTCTAAGGAAGGGAGGCCAGGAAGACTGCAATGGCGTTGTGATTAGGACCAGACTTTGGTTACCTTCAATTCTTGGCAAAGACGGCAAGAGATGGTGACAGAATTTGAGGAAGACGGGGCTCAGCAGCAGAACGTTTGCTTTGCATGCACCTTCAGTTAAAAAGATCAGATAGTAAGTGGTGTCTGCAACCTGAGAGAGCCGCTGCAAATGAGAATGAACCATACCAAACTAGATGCACCAATGACTCGATATAAGGCAGCTTTATGTGGGCATTGATCTGACCAAGACTGTGAAAATTCACTGGGTCTCAAATGAAAAGGGACATATATCTAAGGATTGCTGGAGAACTTGTTACATTGCATGTGCATGGCTATTATGACTACTCCAAACGGTTTCTCGCTAATAAATAATAATTTTGTTTAATTCGGTCTCGATGCTGCTGTCATTGCAATTAGGTTCCAGTGGCTTCTGTGAAGAATGATGGAGTCTCATCCTGTGGAAAAAAAAATCTAAGGAACATTATTTCATATAACCAATTTTCAGGGAGGAGAGAGAGTGCACTTTGTGCTGCTTCAAATTGTTTGCCAATTAAACATTGTTTATAAAGAGTATCAAGCATATAGTATTAACACTGTTGGAGTAGGGAACAGTTGGGATTGGAATATGAGGGCATCTTTCCAGTCTCCAAATAAACTACTGCACAAAGTCTCAATTTGAGTTGTTATGGCAACTTTCATTCTTGGTATATGCACAAATTATTGACACATGCACTGAATCCTGGAGTTCTAGGCCTCATGGACTTCATGGATTCCACAACGTACTGAAGGTTAGCCAACAGAAACAGGTGGGTTTTATTAGAATAGGTCTAGTATAAACTGGAGATGTAGCACGAGGTCTACTGGGATCTTTAATGGTTATTTCTTCAGTTCCAGTCTACAGAAAGAGACTGAGGACCAAACTAGATGGGGCCCACAAGGAATGTCTCCTGTGGTATTTGTTTGTTTGTTTGTTTGTTTGTTTTAAAGAGATATTAATAGTAGCTGCAGAGGTGATCCTTAAAGGGGGTGCAGTACATGTATCCTTCCCTCTTTACCAGTCAGTGCAGTCCCTGAACTAAAACTGGCTCTGGCCATTGGCCACACTGGACTGATGGGAGTTGTAGTTCACAACAATGCTGGCTACCCTAGCTCTGTGCTGTTTTCCCAATTCACCCCTCTGCAGCTGCTATTTCCAAAACATGCAGGTATGGGTACAGTAAATTTTGCCTTGAGAGCCACATAACACCTGCTGTTAAATGCCCTCACAAAACACTTGCAGAGTGATATCCTAGTTAACCGCCTCAAGTCTACCTGTCATGCCATCCTCACAGACACCCATCTGAGGAAATGAATAAAAGAGATTTGCCGCATTCCAAAGAGGCTGCAGTTTGATTCAGAAGCCAGCGATTGGCCTCACATAAATAAGAGCTGGGTAAAATATGTTCCAGAAAAATGGTGGTAGTCGGCTGCTGCTGCTAGTTTGCTTTGGGTTTCCCATTGTTGGGGGCCTAATATATATTTTCCTGCTGTCTTCAGAAATTTAGTAAACTTAACCATTCAGCAAAATAACTCATAAACAATCATATGTCCCTGAATGCATCGGCCACCTCTTCTACTCATTGAAACTACCTGAAGCCTGGAGACATAGGAAGATCATAGAGGAGGCTGGTCCCTTAGAGTGAATGGGGCACTGCCATACCACACTCAGCTTGCCCTCAGCCAGTCCTCACCTATCCTTTTACTTATATCCAGTCTAGGGGGTGGTACTGCCTGCAACAGCTTCCTTCTTTTTAGTCTCAATGTTACCTTTGTAGAACTCAGCAGGGAAGTGGGGATAAAATGACAACTCTCGCTGGCTGCTGTTGGTCTCCCAGCCCTCCAAGCCCCAATGGGCACCAGCAATCATCAGCTCATCTCTGTTCAGCAGCGAATGACAAGAGACTCTTAATGTCGCCGCAGTTCAGAACTTGCTGTCCTGTCTGATAGGGAGACGTAGGAATTACTGACAGGGCTTCCTGAATAGCCCCAGTGGGACTACCTACCTCATATCTCCCTCTCCAGATAATATAATTTAAAAGCTAACCTTAACAAGGGGATGATGCTGCAGGCTTGTCCATAACTGACCTCACTTGAACAGTCTGGAGTGAGAAGTTAAAGGCTTACTTGGGGAAACCTAGATTCCTCTCTGAACTGGCTGCATCTTCTTAATTGACTAACAGCTCACATTATTTGACCTTTGAAAACCAGCATCAGCTGTTCGCTTCAGTTGGCAGAGCAAAGGTGCTCGTTTGACTCCATCATTATAATATGGAGTAGAATGGGGTAGCATTATTTCACTGCATATGGGAATGAGACATGGTTCTATGTATGAGCATGTGCAAAGGAATGGTTAAGTCACTCAACTTTGGAGGCCCTGCTGATATCACTCCCCCCACCCCTCCCCAATCTCATGAGCCCCACCTGGTATCTGCAGTTGCATTTATTGTGGTACAGCCTATGGTACTTTCTGATAAAATGCTTATTAAGAAGGAAGCAGCATGGAGAAATACGAGGCATTAGGCAGACAGCATATATCTTGCCAGATTAAGTTTGGCTGTAAACCTGGCTTGTCTGGAACAAAACAATCCAAAGGAATCATGAGAGAAAAACTTCCTTATTGTGACTGCAGACCGCTCCCAGTTGTCTGGATAAATGTTTTGCACATCGGTACCGAGTCCTTCCTCAAAGGTCCCCCACCCCCCAAAGCACATTTTCAAATTACTACTGAGATCATGCAGCAAAATGAAATTTGAACAAGGAGTAAAATTGAAAACAACAACAACCACCCCCCCGAACCAACAACCAATGCTCCCCAAAAAGAAATACACCATCTCTGTTGCAACAGAAGATGTGAAATGATTTGCCCTTCATTCTACAAATAAATTTTATTTGCTTCTTGCATGACAAAACCAGCCAAAAACCTCTCCTCTAATCCCTCATCAAACATGAAGAAAGGATTGCTAGGGATGTTAACTCATGCTTTTTCATTATGGTTTTTCTAAAACACAAGATGCCTCGTCTTCAGTTTATATCAACTTACAGGACAATTCCATGCATGTCTACACAGAAGTAAATCTGGCTATGTTTGAGGGGAGGGCACTGTGGGTTAAAACACAGAGCCTAGGACTTGCCGATCAGAAGGTCGGCGGTTCGAATCCCCGCGACGGGGTGAGCTCCCGTTGCTCGGTCGCTGCTCCTGCCAACCTAGCAGTCCGAAAGCACATCAAAGTGCAAGTAGATAAATAGGTATCACTCTGGCGGGCAGGTAAACGGCATTTCCGTGCACTGCTCTGGTTCACCAGAAGCGACTTAGTCATGCTGGCCACATGACCCGGAAGCTGTACACTGGCTCCCTTGGCCAATAAAGCGAGATGAGTGCCGCAACCCCAGAGTTGGTCACGACTGGACCTAACGGTCAGGGGTCCCTTTACCTTTACCTATAAGGATCAGATACCCAACCTATCTACACAGCTTTACAGCCTGTAGAGCCAAGTATGTTTCTAGCCTTGGTCCAAAACTTCACACATAAAAATATTCAGTTACATTTTTGGAGATGACCCCACAGCCTGCTCTTTAAAAAAAAAAAAAAAGTTCCTCTTGATCTATTGGTGAATTCAGTTCCCTCCCCACCTCAGAAAACCTTCATCAATATGACTTTCCCAATTTTGACACTCATTAACAGGGTGGAGAATGTCAGGCACAACTGTTGATCCAATTTTAATTATCATTTAATATCATTCTACTGTTGTTGAAGGAAGCAATGGGACGTATGACAA